AAGTTGTAATCTCAGCCTGTTGGGAAGGTGTTCTTCTAAATTTCTAAGTTCCTTTCTTGTTCACTCTTCTTTACCTCTGGGGGTAGTATCTGCTTTATGAAGTTGCTTCTCTGTACCTCTTCTCTATACTTCTTTTATCCCCTTTTAGTAGTTAACTATTTTTTACTAGTTAGCAATTCTTGTTTTAAATTTTTCCTGTTTGGCTACCTGTGCAATGTGGTTTTCGTCTCATGAATGGACCCTGACTCACAAAGTACATATTAGAAAATTTAAGATAACCAAGAAAATGGAGTAACTATGGAAAAATCAATAGAGCTAAAGTATAAAACTTCTAAATCTGTAGTGGAGAACAAACGATAAGAAAAATCAACTCCCCCCAAAAATAGGAAGGAAGGAAAAAAAAACAAAAATATGATGAATAGAAAATATGAAAGATAGTCAAAAGACCTCTAACAATATTTGTAATCACAATAAAACCTAGAATGTCAAATTCCATGAAAAAAATAAGTATGCTATTTATAAGAGGTCCACTTCAAACACATGTAAGTATTTAAGAATAAAAGGATGAAAAAGATAGACATATATATGCCCCAAGGATAGTTTAGCTTTCTGTTTATAGTAATGGTAGCAAACATCATTCTGAATGGTGAAACAGTAAAAGATTTCCTTTTGAAATTGGGAACAAGGGCTGCTTCCTATGCCTACTCCTGCTCAGCACTACATTGCAGCCTGTATAGTAAGGCAAGAAAAAACAGGTATATCTGACCAAAATTGTTATTATATGCAGATGATATGATCATAAGCATAAAAATCTAAAATAATTTAAAGATGAATTGCTAGAATTAGAAAGTTTTTAGGCAAGGTTGCTGCATACAGAGTAAATATTTAAAAAATCAATTGTAGTTCTCTGTTCTTGTGACAGTTAGAAAATGAAAAATTTAAAGATAACATAAATGTATAAAAGATCAAATATTATGACTATACCCAACAATAATTTTTATGAGAAAATTATAAAATTTTATTAAGAAATGTTAAAGCAAACCTAACCAAATGGGGAGTTATACCATATTGGGGATTGGAAGACCTGACATTACAGATGTCGATTTTCCCCAATGACCCTATGTTCAATGAAAGCCCAGTAAAAATCCCAATAGGGTGGGTGGGGGTGTGCACATGCGTGCACATGAGCGCATAAGTACTTGATAAGCAGACTCAGTGTACATGGAAATACAAAGGGTGAGAAGCCTTCAACTGGATACCAAGGTTTATTTTAAAGTTACAGTAACAAAGACAGTGTGGTACTAGTGCAGGGAGAGATAGCTGGATCAAAAAACAGGAAAAACAGCCCAGAAACAGACTCATTCACACATATATGGTTAATTTATGACAGAGGCAGCACTGTGAGCAGAGAGTGCTACCTCTGTCATAAATTAAATGATGCTGAAACAACTGGGTCCATGAGAGAAAATATAAAATGATTCTTCACTTATACCTCATTCAAAAATCAAACAACTCCAGGTCTGTCAGAATAAATGTGAAAGGCAAAACTATTCAGTTCTAAGATAATAGAGGAGAATAATGTTCCAACCTGTGACTAGGAAAAGATTTGATAAGATACAAAGAGCACTAACTGTAAAGGAAAAGACCATGCATTGCTACATTTAATTAGATTCTGTTTATAAAAAGAAACTATAAGAAGATGGCAAGAAGACACAGAACGGAAGAAGACATTTACAACACACATAATTGTCAAATGGCTCATGTCCAGAATATATAATATCTCTTACAAATCGACAGGGAAAGACAGTCCAATAGAAAAATGATCTAAAGATACAAAAAAGCACTTCAAAAAACTACAAATGACTAATAAAGGAAAAGATGCTTAATTTCATTAAAAATCAGGGGGAAAAACTTAAAACCACAATAATAACTCTATACTACACTGGTAAAAATAAAAAATTTGACTTACCAAGAATTGGTTAGGATGTAAAAAAGTAGGAACTCTCATGCACATGGGAGTATTAATTGGTACAACCACTTTGGAAAATAGTTTGGCATTTTCTTCTAAAGTTGAGGATACATATTTCCTATTAGTCTCCACACTGTATAATCCCAGAGGCGCCATTCACATCTATAGAATGGATGTGAATGTCTATAGAAATGGTACTACCTCCACTTGTATAGTACATAGCCTCTGTGGCTGCATACAGATGCGTTTTCCCCTAGGTCCCCGCAATTCTTAGATAATGATTCTAGAAAACTTGTACACAAGTGTACAAGGATACATGTACAAGAATTTTATAGCAGCAGCTCACAATAGCCACTACTCAAGTGTCAATCACCAGGAGAACAGACAAATGGATTGTGAAATATTCATAGAGGACTACTAGACAGCAATGAAACAAATTACCTGGACTTACACACAACAACACGGATGAATAGTACAAAAACGATCTGGACCAAAAGAAGAAACATTTAAAAGAATATACGCAATATGATTCCATTTTTATAAAGTTTAAAAACAGGCAAAACTCGACTATCTTGGCTTAGGCATACACACTAAAGTGGCAAAACTATTTTTAAAAAACAAGGAAGTGATTAACATAAGTCCAACTAATGATTATCTTTTGGGAAGGGACATAATCGTGGGTGGGGAAGGTCTTTTGGAGGGCTAGTGATGTTCTATTTCTTGGTTGTTGCATGGGTGTTCACTTTATAATCATTCATTACACTCAGTATTTATGGTTTTTACCATTTTTAGCTTATTTGTTATATTTTACAAAAGATTAGTGAAGTAAATGAAAAATAAAGGAAAAATAGCCACCAACTATTAATTAAAAGGACAACACTCATTCAAGGTGAGAAGCACGAATAACAATAAAGAGATATTAATCAAGAGGATATTATCAACTATGAATTTATAAGTACTTATAAAATAGGCTCAAATATATTTAAAAATTTGACAAATTCACAGCAATTTCAGTATCTCCCATAAACTAACAAATTAAGCAGATAAAAAAACTGATAGAAATAAAGTAGATTTAAACAACATAATAGCTACATATATCTACACGCATACACACACTATGTGGCCGCTGTGGCTGCATACAAAAGTGTTTTCCCCTAGGATCCAGCAATTCTTGGATATTGATTCTAGAAAACTTGCACACAAGTATACTAGGATGCATATAGAAGAATGTTCATAGCAGCAGTTCACAATAGCCAAGAACTACAAACAATCCATATGTAAATATATAGGATTAGACTTTTTTAAAACACATGTGGAACAGGTATAAAATTCATCTCACAGGAAGTCTCAACAAATTCCAGACTCAATATCGAACAGACCATATTCTCTAACTATAAGGCAATAAAATTAGAATTAAAAACAATAAAAAGATAACCTAAGAGGCTCTACATATTTTCTCCTAAACTTCTACTTTTAACCAGAACAAACTAATAGAAATCGAATTTACCCATCCACTTATACCAACCAAGATCAAAACAAAAAGACAAAGTACATGAAACATACACACTGCATATCAGGTATATGTCCACGCAAAGATCTGAACATGAATGTTCATAGCAGTTTTATTTGTAGTAATAGTCAAAATCAGGAAAAAAAAAGAAAACAAATTTCCATCAACAGGTAAATGGATAAACAAATTGTGGTATATTCACACAATGGAATATTAAACAACGATAAAAAAGAATGAACTGTTAACGCAACATGCAAAAATCTCAAAATAATTATGCTGAAAGAGAACAGACAAAAAAGAGAACACATTGTATGATTCCATTTATAAAAATCCCATCAAATGCAAACTTGCCTATAGTGATGAAAAGCAGATCATTTGTTGCCTGAGGACGGGAGGGAGTGGAGAGAGATCACCAAGGGCAAACAGATAACTCCTGGAGTAATGGGTATGTTTATTATTCTAATCATGGTGATGGTTTCACAGATGTGTATGTATATCAGAACTCAGAACTCATCAAACTGTATACTATAAATATGTACAGTTTATTATGTCAATTATACAATAATAAAATTGTTTAAAAAATCAAGAGCTAAACATATTGTAGGACTCTACTTACTTTTTAAGTGATTAAAATTGGATAAAAGTAGAACAGAGAGGGCTTAATATTCTTTCTACTAGTGGCACTATCGCTCCTACGTCTCTGAGGAAGAGTCTGAAAAATCTCTGTTTTAAACTAAGAGTTAACCACAGGTTCTTAAATTAGCTCACAAAAATTAGATTAACAATTTTTAAATAACATTTCTTCCTTTCAAATATTGTTAGATCTTCAAACTGTCTTGTAATTTCTTAGAGTAATCTAATCAACTCAGAGTATTTACATTATTAAATATCCAATTTTTTCCCCAATCCTCAAAGACACAAATTCTTTCACAAGTTATGGGCTAGTGTTTGGAAATGTAATTGCAGGATAACAAAACAAAAAATTTCAAATCTAGAAAGAATCTAAGATATTATGTCTAATCCCTAAGGTCACAATACCAATGATCTAGATTCTTATCTACTGATATTTACTCTTGTCATTCCACCATGCTGCTTTCTGGAAATTCTTCACAATACTCTACATGACAAAACAAGAAAAACTGAGAAGTCTTCCTTGGCTTACTACTGGGGGGACAGGGAAATGGTGGAGAACAGCAGCAACCCAAAGTGGCTTGCACTCATAGATGTGAGGTAGAACACTAGTCCTTTAAGAAAATCAAACTGAATTTTGAGAATAGGGAATAAGTAGAAGCCAGCAAGAGAAGTACTCTTATGTAAGATGCAGCAAGGGTGAACCCGCTGCCCAAGGAAGACTCAGCCTAGTAAGAGAATATGACTCATTATTTGTGAATAATACAAATAAGTCACTGAGGACACATATGTTTGGAAATTCTTCATAAAATTTTTATTCAAGATTTCATGCCCTTATAAAAAGTACATTACATCAAGACTGTAAAACAATCTTTTTAATGAGAGACTTCTATTTACTCATCTATATTACCTAATTCATTTCCTACCCTAACGCAAGATAAAACATTTTCTCCTTCGTTTTCTTCCTCCTGCTTTGAAAGGACAAGTGCCATGAGAGATATCTTAATAGAATGTGTCATTTTCTTGCCAGAAAAGCAATAGCTTCCTACTGGCTGGACTTAAGAGAGAGCCATTTGCATTCCTTGGTCCCAGAACCAGAAAGATCATTAAACCCTGAACTTAAACGCAAACTTTCTATTACTTGCAATCTCTCTCCCTTTGTCTTTTATTCACACACTATGCTTTAAAACAATCTTAAAATTTAAGCACTCAAAAAGTTGCTTAAGAAATGATTGAAGGATCTAAAGTTAAATCGCTACTTTAACTTAACAACTGTTTTCTATATAAGAATCTCAAAGTTAATAAAAATTATATGAATGGAGGACCCAATAGTAAGAAGGGGATGAATTGTGAGAATAAATACACTTTATAACCCTTGTCTCAAAGTAAGATCAATCCTATAAAATAGAATGTTAAGAATGCAATTTACACAGTAAAAATGATTTGATTTGTTTTCAGTATGAAAGTACTTTTAATTTCTTTACTGCAGGTACAATGGCATCCAAGTCATCAATTTCTGTAATAAAAAAAAAAAAAACAAGAATAAAAGAGTAGCTTTATCTAGTGATTGGCTCAGATGAAATTAGAATCTCTGTGCAAAGGCAAACCTCAAATGCAAAAGAAACAACACTGGTGCTTTCATGCATATGAAATTTTTCTCCAATAGTGGTGGTAAGAGTATCACTAATTCAGACACAGAACCTTCACAGAGCATCTTCTTTGTAAAAGCTATTACATACCTACAAGCATCCACTGACGCTGATATTAATCTCATTAGCAGTGTGCTCTTAACAGATCCTACTGACCACATTTAAGATATTATGTTATTGCCTCTTCAAATCTATATAATTACATGAGTGAGTCTACCTGGTAAAATGTCAGGTACAGGCTGTCTCTCTTCTGGGTCCCTGAGGACTTAGGGGTTTCTCTGCATGAAACATCATCCTATCCTTTATTCTCTTGAAAAGATTTCTCATTAGTAAGATCACTTAGGTCTACCTTTTAAGATGAAGCATATCTACCTAATAAAAGATGTGAAGCTTCCCAAAATACAAATCTCAGAGGCAACATATTATACAGCTTAGTTTGCTCCAGCTTACTAGATAAACCAGGTCAGGTTTTTCTCTGCCAGTTTCTTTCTGAATCTGATTTTTCTCTTCCTAATCAACCTGTGTTTGAACTCACTGTCTGAAATCTCCTGGCTACTGAGGAAGCAAGGTCCTTTTTCTCATCTAGACTACAGCCCTACTTAAGGTAAGCCCCAATGGCAAATTCTCACCACTTTTTCTAGATTATTCTGCTAAGCCGCTCTTCATAAACTCATTTCCTTCCTATAAAACATGCTTCCTTGGATTCAACCTTTCTCCCCCCCGTTTATTTGGATTTTGGTTGTTCTTCCTTTAGCCTAAACACATGACCATTCTGTTTAAGCTCCTGACTTCAGTCAGAATACTCGTCTGGATCCACTTACAAAGCACCAAGATATAGGGAAGGAAAAAAAAATAAGCAAATACACAATAGAGAATTTGGTTCACACCTTACATCATGGTAAGGTACATAATTAAGTGATTCCCTGACCCCCATTGTGAAATCACACCTGTTTTCTTGCTAAATGAGAAATTCTCCTTATAAATGAACCTCACAGAGAAGGATCTTGGCTGATAAGAGAATTTTCTCAGCCTATTTAAGAAAGTCCTTCTCTATATCTGGTATTCAGTACACCACACTGTAGGTCTAGATGCTTAATATGACATCTAATAATAAAAAATATAGTCACACTTGCCAAAACAGATTTAACTTTCCCAATGTTAAATATAATATTTAACACCAGAATTTCAACTGACCAAAATGCAGAATTCATCTGCAGGGAGACTTGGCTTCTTGAAGCAAATGATCTCACATGAACCATGCTCATAATCTGAGAAGTTTCTACAGAAGGATTCTGAAATGAGTGTTACCAGCACACCTATTAAAATGTTTATTAATGATGAGAATTTCACTGTTTAATTGCTACCCCAAAACAAGTAAAATTATATTATTCTATGAAATGAGGCTCTTTAGTATACAAGGCAACACAATTTGATCTACAATTTGATGTTCCATCTTAAATTAAACTTTCAAATTACATTTTCCCTTGCCATGATCTTTTCAAACATATGAACATGCCTAAAGCATGCTCACTGTCTCCCTTGCTTCCACGGTCTATATAAAACTGGTCATAAAACTTCCTTTATGTTCACTAGGCTGTATATACCAGTCAGATACATCTTTCACTTATTTATCTTCTTACCAAATTTTAATTTACTCAGTCCCTGATCTTCTACTAAACCTCATTTCCTTCTAATTTAATATCCTATGTCAAGGAGCCATTCTTAAAAAAAAAAAAAAAATCAAATGAGCTACATAGAAAAAAAGAATTAGTGAATAAATCATTTTAAACTTTAAAAAATGTTAATAGTAAGATAAATTATTTTTACAGCCATATATAATCACACGTAAAATAAGAGACTTAGGTCTCTATTTTGCCTATGATTCCTAAGCAAATTACATTTCTCCCTTTAAGAGATATTACTACTAGCAAAGCTCTCAATCTGACCAAGCGTATAAATGTATCTCTTCTACAGATTTATAAATTTCTCTTCTTTTCTACAGATGTTTACTTATCACCTGAGTAAAAAATTTAATTTGTATATTTAAAAAACACAGTAGGTAGGTACTACCTTTAAAAAGGAGGAGGAAGAGGAAGAAGAGGATGAGAAAGAAAAAAACCTTCCAAGATCATAAATTCTACCAAGATTTCTCATTAGACAATGACAGAGTCAGGGTCTAGCCAGAGTTATGCCATTTTTCATCTTAAGGACCCAGAACAAAGGCAGCCCCTAGCTCCTTAAAGGACATGTGCTTCTCTGTTCTGGAGACTAATCCCAAACACCTCTAACTTCAAGTTAGAAGTGTGTTTCCAGAACTGTTAGTGGTTTCCAGACACTTTCTACAAACAGTCTAAGTAAAAACGCTAATCCAATTGTCTTACCTAAGATGTCAAGTAGATCATTAGTAAATGCCTGAAATGCTGGAAAAAACTCCTCATGTTCTTCCAATTTGATGATAATGCTTTTAAAAAAAAATGCACAGTTTACACTGAATTTCTAAATTAAGGTTCTTGCATCTGATTGAAAATAGAACATTTTCAAAATGGAAATTGTCCTAAGTTAAATATAAACTTGATGATCATTTACTGTAATCCTTTTAAACTTTATCTAATATCACTTTTCTAAAAAAAACTTATTACCAGCATAAATATCTGTTCTAAGGTTAAATTAATACAACATTCCTAATATGAGAAACTTCTCATTTAGCTCAAGGATTCTGAAGAGATCATACTTTTATAATGTATTCAAAACTACCCGGCTTTTATATCCAGTATTCTATAAGAATAAGTACCAGTAGTCAGTTAAACTGTGGAAAAGGGAAAAAGACCAACAGAGATATATGTTCCTTTTAAAAGCATCAAGTATCAGAAAACTCAAGTGTCAGATTAGGTAAGGGTTCTTCTTAGAAAACTTGCAGAACATACAGGATAGGTGGCATATGTATGTGTTTCCCTCTCCACATGTTGCCATAAAAATTCGTGTCAGGAAGAGTTTTATTTTAGAGATACCTAACGTAAAAAAAAATCCTTAACATTGTATCTTCTAATCAAATAATATACTGTTAGTGATTACTCAGTGGTCCATGGTAGTGTACTAAAAATAGGACTTGTTTATATATTATAAACTCACAAGAAGTTGCTAACAAGGTTTGAATTTCTCCATATATAATTTCCCCAGAGAACAGGCTTATAGCAATGAGGCTGGAGTCCTGACCCTACCCTACGTAAATTTATAGACCCTATGAGCTATTTTTATCTTGAAAATATTTGGCATTCTCTCCATCCTTAAGGGGTGAGATTATTTTAGATTGTCAAGTTATTTAAAAGATGCTATTCCAAACAGGAACGATAAATAACTTAGGAAGTTTTGAAAGCCTTTAATTTCACCACTCCAAGCATTATGGATGATACCTTGCAAACTTTTTAAATAAATACCTTTGGAGGTCTTCAGGTCCCAATACCCGTTTAACCTGTTCATTCATATCTTCATTAATCAGCCTACACAATTTTCCAACTGTGCTCACCAGCACACACAATGAGGATGAACTATCTGCAAAAGAGAAATGAAAGGATAAGACATTTTAAATGAGAAATTTCTAAATTAAACACTTTATGCTTAAGTTATGCTAAATTTTTTACTTTAAAATTTTTTACCTACTTTTTGTCAATTTATTACGAATAATTCTTAAATGGGGGCAAAAAATAACCAAGGGTCATCACCTAATTCTAAGAGTTCTTGGAGGTTTCTCACAGCATTGTTCATTTCTCCAAGCCTTATATAAACTTCATTCATTCGGGGATAGACTCCATTTAAAGAAGGCACATCAAATAATTTTTGGAAGTGAGAAACAATAGCTTGCAAAGTTTGAAAGTTTGGCATATTGCTGTCCTGTCCAAAAGAGAGAGAAAAAAAGAAAGATAGTTCACATCTTAAAATAATCCCAAATCTTTAACAAAAACTTAAAAGAAATAGAATCCTACTAGAATATCAACATTCATATTATTATCAACTTTTAAAATAAGATTACATTAAAATGTGAACATTTACATAAGTATTAAGTATTACCTTTTCCTTATTTTCAACTTCTTCTAACATGGTATCTACTATAAACAACAGATCTTCAACTTTAATACCTTCATTTTCATCCTGCTTCTTTAAATTATGCCAAGGCACCAGTTCCGCAGAAAGTATTTTCAAGGACTTATACAAATCCTTTATAACAAAGGAAACAACATGGTATTATTGATTTAAAAAGAAAAGTTTTCATAATAATGCTAATAAAATATAATTATGTTTTGATATAAAAAAAATACCAGGTTTTACGTTAGGGTTTAATAAATATATTAACCATCATCTACTTAAAAAAAAATACCATTACCAGTTTAGGAAAAAGTCTGCTAAATTAGTTTTCTCCAGGTAAATATGTATTATATAAAACATTATATATTGATTATCTAGAATCTAGATGCTGTAATTACATGTTATTTACTATTAGTATGTTATTTAAGTAATTATTTTGAATTATTGATGGATAAAAAATAAGCTTGCCCTTGAATTTTTTTATAACAGACTTGAAATATAATTCACACAGCATAAAATTCGTCCTCTTTATGTGTACAATTCAGTAGTTTAATATATTTACAGAGATGTGCAACCATCACCATTATCTAATTTCAGAACATTGTCTTCAGCCTCAGAAAAACCTGAACCCACTCATAGTCAACTCCCATTCTTCATTGCCCCCAGCTCCTGGGTAACTACTAATCTACTTTCTGTTTCTATGGATTTGCTTATTCTGGGCATTTCACATAAAATGCAATCATACAATAAGTGGCCTTTCGTGACTGGCCTCTTTCACTTAGAATGTTTTCAAGATTTATCCATGTTATAGCATATATCTCCAGGGAGGTTTTTAATTTAAAAAGATAGCTAAGTTAATTCTATTTAATCTTCATGATAGCCCAGTTTTCTTGGCCTAGATATGTTGTCTTAATCTATTTCTGTGCACAAGGGGCAAGGCTACTAAAAGTTTGTCAATTGACAAACAAATATTTACTGAGCATCTACATGTGCATACAACAGTATTTGGCCCTTTAGAACAATGCTGTCCAAAAACCATGTTATGTCAGTCACAGTCATTTTAAACTGTCTAGTAACCACATTTAGAAAAGTAAAAAGAAACAGGTGATATTACCTTTAATGACATTTTATTTAACCCAAACATCCAAAATATTAGCATTTGATACTTAATATTTTAATTATTTTTTTCATACCAAGTCTTATAAATCTTGTATTTTATACTTACAGCACATCTCAATTGGGACTAGCCACATTTCAAGTGCTCAAAAGCTACATGTGGCTAGTGATTACATACTTATTAGACAGTGCCACTCTAGAATACGGAAAGAAGTATATAGGAAATTCTTTCGCCACTGTCTCTTAGTCCTCCACTTATTTGACACTCTCCAACTAATGCCCAGACCTCGCACATTGATATCTTTAACCTTTCATTTCGTAAGAAGACTATTATCTATTTTGGCAATTCGAGGCAACACATTCAGTGTCAAATGAATGTTTTAAACAGTAAGTGCCACCAGAATTTGAAAAAAAAAGTCAGGAAGTCCAGCATAATGGTACCTTCATTAACTAACCCTCCATCAACAAGGAGTAATCATAAAGAAATGGTATATGGTAAAAAGCACACCAAATATAAATTTTTGCTTGATAATAAAAGTATTACAAGGTTAAGAAGAAAAGATGTTCTGGTCTACTTAGAAGTGCAGAATGGTTGTAGCACAGTCCATCTAGTAAGCCCTGAAAAACCTAAAAAAGGGCCTCCTAGGTTCTCCATGCTGCTCAGCTGTGGGGTTGGAGAAGTATGCTAAAGTCCTGTCTTTGTATGACTGGCTTCTGAAAGCTTGGAGAATGGCAAAGCCACAGCATACTAGTGTAGTAGGTTCGGAAAATACAGAGTTTGTAGCTCACCTTCCTGGTAAGGTAGGTGGGAAAGACAGAAGGAAGGAGGCAGAGAGCTAGGTGGCTCCATACTTATCCCATCTTTTTCTTGTAAGCCAAATCTAACCTGAGAAAAAAAACAAATCTTGGAAAATGGTTGTCCCAAATTTAAAGCCTGCTATAGTATAGAAAACCTTTCATATGAGGAGGCCTCAAAGAACCTCAGGTGGTCTCTCAGTGTGGATCCTGATTCTGCAGTATAAGGTAAATATCTGAAGCACTGCCTAAAATCCATGAGTTACTTCAGTGGCAGAGCCACTAAATTCCTCTTGGAGGCCCTCAGAATATTCTAATTTTAAAGCTAACTCTCTTTATCTCCTTCCAGTGGGAAAACTATACAGTAGCAAGAACTCACCACCACTGTAAAGCTTTTCTTGGGGGCTCTTCCTTCTCCAGAATCTGGAGTACAAGTTTTCTGCATCATTCACTTGGCACTTCATCATGGCCTATCTGTTTTCATTCCCTCTAATATCTTGAATGGTTAAATTTTGTTTCATATTTCTAGTATGTTTTATGTCTCCAATTAGTTTGAATCTTGTATTCACCTTTTCTGACACCTCCCACAATGCCTTGAACATAGTAAATAATCAATAACTATCCATTTATTTGATTCTTCCTGTTGCCACTTTTCTCTTCTAGTCTTTCCCTTGTCTTGGGAAGGCTGGGGCGTTTTTTTAGCCCATCTGCCATGAGAAGGAGAAAAGTGGAGTTAGCACTATTCCCTCCTACTGGAATAAGCAATGACTGGGAAAACGCCATGATTTACATAATTAACCACTAATTATTTCCCCCTCTTCTGAGATATAAATTGAAGGAACTCAGACCTATGAGATAGGTATATTAATCCAACACTATCACTCAATTAAAATGTCTTTTATTTTATAGCTCTACCTGAGCCTGATTTAAAAATGGAAGGAGAAATTAGGCTGAATGTAAAAATTCTTTCAACAGTTACAAATGTTTTCATAAAAACTTTTAAAATTCAGTATCATCATCTCCATTTTTGTTATCTTAGAATGTGTTCTTCTGCTTCATTCTTTTGACAAATATTGGGCATTGTTATGTGCCAAGAGTTTCCATGGGATGTATCAGAGAACAAAAAAGACAAAAGTCATGGAGCTTATGCCTTCTTACACTCATCTTCCTTGTTATTTATACTTCATGTAATAAGGCTTCTATTGACAAATACTGCTATTAAATTACATTTGCATGAACAGAGGTAGTGTATATATATATATATATGTTAGTTATGAAAAATCTAAAATTTAAAGGAAACAGAAATTAAATACTACTGACTTTAACAATTCACCTTTCAGTGAACTACTCAACAAAACATGAAAAAACCCAAAAGTTAATAAAGAATACACAATAATTCCATAAAATGAAAAAATTTTAATCTTCCATGGATAGATAGGATAGATAAGAGTACTACTGGCTGCTATCTGACTATAATTTGCTCTACAGAATAGACAAACATAGTGATAAGCTATTTTGAGAGAAAGAAAATAATTTAAAATATGAAGAGAGAAAAAATCCCCAATTAAAATGGAATGAAGGATAAGATATCATATCTGAAGGGAAGTAAGGGCCAGGAAAATCGGTAGCATGGGTTTACCAAAAAGGGGGAGACGAAGGTAGAACAGGGAAGGACCTAGAAGTGCAAATTGGATCTACCATAGATTTTCAAAAAGGCAACAGGCCTAAAAATATCTTGTTTGATAAAACTTTATAGGAGGCAAAGCTTATAGTAATGACAACATCGAATAGATAGTACTGAAAACAGATAAGGATGTGGCAAGATTCAAAGTTTAGATAAGCTAAGCCTTTTCAGCTTTACAGTTAAAACAAAGAACAAAAAAAATAGCCTAGTCCTATTTAAAAAACCCACAGACTCCATAGATTTTCAAAGCATGTAAAGACTATTCAACCCCTTACCTTTAGGGAAGTCAGTTGATCCGCCCACATTTCTATTATAGGAACGAGATGCTCAAATCCACAATCATGAACGAAATCTTTATTAAAATGTTGGGCTCCTCCTTTGCTCTGTTTATAAATTATTACTGGAGCTCTTGGATTGTGAATAATTGAATTGATGCTACTCAGCACCTTTTTTAAAAAGACAGTTTTTAGTTGAAATGTTTGTCATACTATCAAAGCGATATACATTAAAGGAGTGCTTTATATGTCAATGTAACATCATTTTCAGAGTTAATTTTAGAAATTAAGAAAATCTTTAATCTGACTGACACTTGTAATGTTTTGGAAGTACAATAGTTTCATCAACATGATTAAACATAAACATGTAAGTGTTAATGAGAATCACAGACTTCATAAAAAAACTAAAATGTATTTTTAAATGATTTAGAGTTGAAAAGTTATGAATAATCTATTATAATCCACATAGAGAAGAATAATAACCCAGTTATCCTTACCTAGACTCCCACATTTCCCTATTTCTATCTGTTCATAGTTAGGCTAATTTGGGTATTAAAAGGGCATTCCCTTTTGTTTCACAGCTTCAGCAGAAGTTTAAAGACAGTGAAAAATAAAGTCCAACACATTCTAAAAAGAAATCCAGGAATCACACAGCTCATGCTAAGAGGTTATTTAACTGATCCTGGATAGTGACAAGCCTATCTAAGAAAAGTAACTTTTATTTTCATTGGACAAGATTCACCAAGACAAGTATGTTTTAAAGGTAAAAGAACTAGTGAGTGAAAATACTGTGTTCTTTTTCTTTTTTCCCCATGGAAAAGCCACAGGTCTCCCAAGAATTTTACTTATGATGCTTATTTACAAGTTTTGTTGTTGTTGTTTTATATTTTAGTACATTTCAATATTTCACTTCTATTAAACTCTTTGAATACCATTTTAATGGGAAAAAGAAACAATTTCCTTTAATTAAATTATTAATGAGATGAGGAACATAGTCCTCCCTGCCTCACACCAAAAGTAGGAGGGCAGCAGAACTCTTAAAAGAAATCAGGGAATTGATGCTAGCTGAGCTTCAGAAGTTCATAAGATGATTCCATTCCATGATGATTCCATTCTGAACCAATGGGGATTACATGTATGTCTAGCAGTATGTAATCATACTTTGTGGTAGGTTGTTTGCAAAAATTATTGCAATTTTTTCTCTTCCTTATATCCTCTCACCTTTGCAAAGTGATATTGCAGTTTCTCCCATCAAGAAGTGGAGTTGATTTCCTACTCTTTGAATCTGGGCTGGTCGTGGGCCTCTCATAAGCCCACAGTAAAGAAAGTAATGGTGGAGTAACATCAGGAGTATGGTGGCATGAGGGATCTCTCCAGATCTCTCCCCTTGAAATAATTAACAAGCTGAACATCTACAATTCAATAAATAACACCCAGCCTGCACACAAGCACGTCTGAGAGATCAATCAGCGCATCAGACCATCCAAAGATGGGCAAATCCGCATGAGACTGGGAGGCAGATCAGCAGTGTGAAACAAAGGAGCTGCATTATGCAGCCGAACTTCCTGCAGGAAGAGGGGGAGAGGACATTTTACACCTGGGTCTTGGCCCTTTGAGGCCGGGAGCAGTGCTGCCTGAGTGATCAGCATATTCCATACAGCAGAGACCAGGAATCAGGGCAGAGAGCAAGGCAGAGACTGACTGCGGCAGGGCTACAGCTATGGCTTAGCAATCGCCATTGCTAGGTAGGAGGCTGAGTCACAGAGCCTATCCATGACCCCCCAACCCAGAGTGCACCCTCACCCTCCGCCATATCCTCTCAGAACACTACTGGGCCCTAGGAGAATTTGTGCAACCAGTACCAAACATACACTATAGCCAGTATCAGAAACAGGTGCAGTGATATCAAAGCAAGACAGCTGAAACCTGGGGAGAGCACTAAGAGAAAGGAAACAGCTACACACACTGTAACCTCTCTCAATCAACCTCGCTCCCTCCCAGTAAGGCAGAGTCGGAAAGAAGCAGCGGAACATTGCATCTGACTCTTGCAGCAGTAACAGGACTTCAGGATCTCTTTGGAAGCTCAAACTCCCATAACCCCCTGCACCCTTTCATGGAGCTGGAGCACGGGGACCAAGGGACCTGATCACAGAAGGCGCACACAGCCCAGCAGAGAGGGAGGGGCATTTTTAGCCTCAAAGCAGAGATCCAAAGGCTTGGACTCCTCCTATTGGAAATAAAAAGAAAAACCCCTTCTCATCAACCTCCTAAAGAGGGATCACTACATGACAAATGTTTTTTTTAAAAAAAAAAAAAAAGAGGGTTCCCATTAATACCCAGGCAGAGTAACAGTCCATTAAATACCACGAACAACCAAGGTGACAAGGCAGCTCAGGAAAAAAGTGAAAAAATCTCCAGAAAATAAGCTCAAAGACATAGAAATATGTGATTTAAATGACAGAATTCAGGACTGCACTTCTGAAAAAAATTCAATGGGATGCAAAATTCTGACTGACAATTCCAAGAAATTAGGAACAAAATAAACAAATAAAACGAATACTTTACCAAGGATATTGAAACCGTTAAAAAGAACCAAATAGAACTTCTGGAGATGCAGAACACATTAAAAGAGATGAAGAATGAAATAAGAAGCTTAGTAAATGTTGCTGACTGGATGGAGGAAAGAATTACTGATATTGAAGACAGAAATCTGGAAATGACACAGAAGGAAGAAGAGAGGGACTTGAGAGTGAAAAATAATAAAAGAACTCTATAAGAACTATTTGACACCATCAGAAAAAGCAACATAAGAATAATGGGTATACCAGAAGAGAGGGAGAAGGGAACAGAGAGCATATTCGAACAAATAGTCGACGAGAATTTCCAAAACCTATGGAAAGAATTGAATCTTTGAATCCAAGAAGCAAACAGAACATCCAATTATCTCACCCAAAAAGGCCTTCTTCAGGACACATTATATTAAAATTGTCAAAAATTAAAGCCAAAGAAAGAATTCTCAAGGCAGTTAGGGAAAAGAACGTAACTTATAAAGAAAAACCCATTAGACTATCATTGGACTTCTCAACACAAACATTACAAACAAGGAAGGAGTGGAACTAAGTATTCAAACTATTAAAAGAAATTACCAGCCAACAATAATATATCCAGCAAAGTTGTCCTTTACATACGGAGGAGAAATAAAGACCTCTCCAGACATACAAAAACTGAGAGAATTCTCTACCACAAGATCTGCATTACAGGAAATACTGAAGGGGGTCATTCTACCTGAAACAAAAAAAACAAAAAATATATAATTATGAATAAGATGACTAACAAGCAGACAGAAGCAGGAAAGTGTAACCCTTATTAAGAACAGGGTAATATAAGTTTAAATGTTACATAATGGCTAAAGGCAAAAAAAAGAAAGAAAGAAAGAAAGAAACCACTCTAAAAAGAGAAGATAATAGCTACTGCAACCTGAGAAATGCATGTTCAGCATATACAGCGATAACTTGAGACGACAAAAACAGAAGAGGGGAGGGAGTAAAAATCCAAATCTACAAATGGGAATGGAGATGAGGTGCACACAGAAGAAAATGAACTACTGTATACACATAACTATCCTTTACATAAACTTAATAGTAAACACACACAAAAATCTAGAACTGAGAGACATCACATAAAACATGAGGGAACAGAGGAAAAAATCCACAAAACACCACCTAATTAAAATAACAGTCAGAAACACAAGTACAAAGAAACAATGGAGACACCAAGCTTCCAGAAAACAAAAGATAAAAAGGCTATAAAAAACCCTCATTATTTCAATAATTACCCTTAATGTAAATGGACTGAACTCATCAATAAAAAGGCACAGAGTAGCAGACTGGATCAAAATACAAAACCCAACCGTACACTGTCTTCAAGAGACATACCTGCAAGGACAAACATGGACTCAAAGTGAAAGGGTGGAAAACGATAATACAAGTGAATGGCATCCAGAGAAAAGCAGGTGTAGCCGTACTTATATCTGATGAAATAGACTTCAAGATAAAAAGGGTAAAGAGAGACAATGATGGACACTTCATAATGACAAAGGGAACCATACATCAAGAAGACCTAATACTTATTAATATTTATGCTCCCAACTAGGGAGCACCAAAATGTATAAAACATCTACTAGCAGAACTAAAGGGAGAGACTGACAAAAACGCAATTACATTACAGGGCCTACATACCTCAAAGTCAGCTATGGATAGATCATTCACACAGAAAATCAATGAGGAAATATTATCTTTAAATGACACATTAGACCAATTGGACATAATAGACATTTACAGAGCCTTTCATCCCAAAACAGCAGCTTATACATTCTCTAATACACATGGAACATTCTCAAGGATAGCCCATATGCTGGGACACAAAACTAACCTCAACAAATTTAAGAAGACTGAAATCATACCAAGCATATTCTCTGACCACAATGCTTTGAAACTGGAAATCAACTGTAAAAAGAAAGTGGGAAGAACCACAAATAGCTAGAGATTAAAAAACATGCTACTAAAGAATGACTGAGTCAGAGAAGAAATAAAAGGAGAGATCAAGAGATTCATTGAAACAAATGAGAATAAAAGTACAACATATCAAAACTTTTGGGACCCAGAAAAAGTGGTAATAAGAAGAAAGTTCAAATCATTACAGGCCTATCTCAAGAAACAAGAACAAACCTAAATAAACAACCTAACATTACATCTTCAAAAACTAGAAAAAGAGAAACAAATAAAGACCAAAGTCAGAAGAAGAAAAGAAATAATCAAAATTAGAACAGAATTAAATGAAATTGAGAAAAGACAATAGGAAAAATTAATGCAACAAAGAGCTGGTTCTTTAAAAGATTAATAAAATTGGCAAACCCCTGTTTAGACTCACTAAAGAAAAAAAAGAAAGGACATAAATATACAAAATCAGGAATGAAAGACAAGTTACAACAGGTACCACCGAAATACAAAAGAATCATACAAGAATACTGTGAAAAATTATATGACGCCAAATTTAATAACCAAGAAATGGAGAGTTCTTAGACAGATATAACCTTCCGAGACTGAATTAAGAAGATCTGGAAAATATTAACAGACTGATCAACAGTATGGAAATTAAAACAATCATCAAAA